GAAACTCAAGCACCATCCAAGAATGTTATAGATCTTCGCACAGCCTTCCTCAAATTGTCGAACTTGAAGAACAACTCATAAAAATGGCGTTTATATCGACAAAAAAAAATGTACTTTTTCAAAATAATAAATTCATATAAAATAAATAAATAAAGCGGCCAATATAAATAATTGATAAAGCAGCAATATTAATTAAAAGCTCAAATAAGAGATGAGAAAAATAAATAATCTAAAAAATTCAAGTTACAATCCCACCTCCACCTTTCTCATTAAAGTAGATCGGTTCCCCGAAATTTGCAGCTATGGTATTTGTACACAAAAAATTAAATTAATTAATTAATTAATTAAATTAATTAATTTGGGTTTGCTTAATCATTTTATTAAAATTTCCCCCTAAAAGGAAAAAAAAATTCCGTTCTGTTAAAGCTCGGCGTCGTCGCTGCAATTTTTATTATCGCTGCCAAATTTCACAAATAAAAATCCGTTGAAATTATAAGTAGAATAACAAGATTTTTTCGACACTAATTTTTAGTTAAAAAATTTAAAAATATCTTAATATAACATTATTCCATAGTTAATTCCAAAAAATTTTGAGCTAAATATAATATAATACTTTTTATGAATCTTATTGGATATTTTTTTATTTTTCATAATAAATAGAACATATAACGAATAATTAAGATTTATAAAATTTTTAAATTACTTTTCAAATTTTATTTTTTTTAAAATAATATATGTTGATATAATAAAGCAATTTGAAAAGCTTATAAATTTTTCCATTTTTAAAATGTATTTCTATAAATATTTTAATTTTTTGCTCTCCTTGGTGACTATGTTCATAATCACGGTTCGAACTCACAGTCCTTTTTACAAGTCGCGATTTTGATTACTTTCAATTTCGTTTCTTTTAAATTGGAGAATGAGATCTGCATCTTCCTTCTGCCATAATTTATCCAAAATAAAAGACGCTAGAGCAAAATCACCAAAATGGTGAAAATAATAACTCATTTAAAAAAAATCCCAAGAATATGGGTCATGAATTAATCTCAAGAATATTGGGAACAATAACTTCGAATCTGTATATAGATCATGAGAAATTATTTGTAAAAAAAATAAAATAAAAAAGGGAATGACAACCGGTGACTGCCCGTGAGAAGAAAAAAAGAGAGCTTTTAGAGTTTTAGGTTTTTGGAGAAAGAGAGAGCCGCTCCGAATTTTCATTTTGATGCATTTATTTTGCCTATTTTGTTAATCAATTTTGAAAATTTTGTAATTTCAATCTCCGGTCTTAAATTTTTGAAAACAATCATGTACATAGGTTTTGTTAATAAAAAGATGTTTGCATAAAAATAATAATTAAAAAAAATTAAAACTTGATTTTATTCTAATGAAATCTTTAATAGCGTATTTTTATATTTAGAAATTTAATTATTTGCAGTGAAAAAGATAAAATATAGCCAATATGCATAATATATTTAGTAATTTTATACCTTAATAAATTCTTTTCCATTATAAAAAAGGCAAATATGTAAAAAAAATTAATAATAAATTCGTTAAGAATATTAAATCAATTTAAAATTAAAAATTACGTAAAAAAAAAAAGAACGAACTTTGAAAAAATGTATCATGCATCAACATAAACTAATTAATATTTATCATAATACCTATTTTTTTAATAAAAAATATTATCTTCTATAAGAAAATGGTTTGTAATATTTTTTATTATTGAAATAAATATTTTAAATTGCTATAATTTTTTTATTTTTAAGATTATGAATATATAATTCTATTCTATTTATTTCAAAGTTTTATAAGAATATGAATATGAAAGAAAACCAAATTAGAGTAAATAATTTTATTAATTATTCAATTATTATTTAATAATTTTATTAATTATCATTATTCAATTTTTTTATAAAAATTAAAATAATGGAATGAGTACTATTTTGAGTAAAGAATATAAAATTAATAAATTAATAAAAGTACCTATAACGAGATCAACATGCCGAGCTACATTTAACACAACTAAATAGTAATAAATACGTAAAATAATTTTTAAAATCACAAGTAAAATAGATAAAAATTTCATAGGAAATTGATTATAATACAAGGCTCTATTTGTTTCTATAAAATAATTTATAAGAAAATATTTTCCACAATGTTCCATTGTTTGGGGCTCAAGAAAATAAGTCAACGGAATTTTCCTGGTCAAAGAATAATTAAGTCACTTTTAAAGGAAAAAACTTTCTATTTTCGAGAAGATAAAATATTTTCCAGATATTAGCAAACCTTATAAATTCAATTTTTCTTATTAATCATCATAGTCACCACAACTGGTCACCATTTACCACCGACCAATACCACTGGCTACCACCACGGGCCACCGGTGGCTTTCATAATTTATATATATTTTTTTCATTCTTTTTATATTTAACAATAAAATTTATAAATTTATAAAATTTCTATTACCATTAATATTTTTTATGGTCTTATGATATAAAGACTTTAATATTTTTATATTTTTAACTAATTTTCAATATTACAACCAAACACATAAATTAAGTCATCTGAAAATATTTTTCAAGGAAAATATTTTATATTAAAATATTTTTCAGCAAGTTATTTTACAGAAAAGAACGGAGGAACCGTCAATCCGACTTGATAATAATAGATTTTCTATGAGACCTAACTTCATAATGTAAAGTAATGATATACAATATATAATTCCTAATTAAGATCCAACAATATTTCTATAATAGAATTATAATAATTTCTAATTAAGGCTCCATTTGTTTCCGTAAAATAACTTGCAGAAAAATATTTTTCATAATTTTTCATTGTTTGGGGCGTTCAAGAAAATAAGTCAACAGAAAATATTTTCTTAGTCAAAGGAAAATTAAGTCATTTTTTAAAGAAAATAACTTTCTATTTTCGAGACAGTAAAACATTTTCTGAACATTGATAAACCTTATAAATTCATATTTTTTTAATTTATTAATCATCGTAGTCACTACTATCAGCCATTGTTTATCACCGGCTACCACCATTAGCCACCGACAGCCACCACCACTGGCCACCAGCGGCTTTCATAATGTGTATATATTTTTTTTGTATTCTTCTCATATTTAACAATAAAATTAATTTTTTTGTATCTCTTTGCTCATGATTTAACAATAAAATTTTTTAAATTATATTTAATTTCTTTTATTATGTCATTATTATATTATGTATTATTTAATTATAAAATCTCTATTATTATTATTATTTATGGTCTTATGAGATAAAGACTTTAATATTTTTAAATAATTTTCAATATTAAAACCCAACAAAGGAAAATAATTTATTTGGAAAATATCACGTAAATATTTCTCAGCAAGTTATTTTAGGAAAACATACGGAGCATAAGATATCATAAAACTTCTATAAAATTTTAAATATTATAAATCTTCTCAATTAGGAATTATATTGAATTCATAATTATTTTATATACTATTACATATTTTTATTTTCTTTTAATAGTTTTTATTTTTTTTAGTAGTGATTTAAATAGAAAACCAAGGTGATCAATAAACTAAATTAACTGTATTTTTCAACCAATAAAATAAAAATATTAAAAATATTTTTATAAATCCATAAGTTTAGTAGAGTTATTTAATCTCAATATTCACTCTCTCGATATTCACTTTTATGGATATTATAAATTTATAAATATAATTTTCATGTTTTATCATTAATTTGAAAAAAATTGCAGTATAATTTAATAATTATGAAACATCATTCAGGGACCGTGGTTTAGCCAACGATGATAAGTATTGATGTGATGGCAGTTGGTGATTTTCTTACAGATGAATAATGGTCGTCTGGTGATTAATAATTAATAAACATGGTGTTTGGTAGTCCATCTAGGATTTTGGTGGTAATCGCCCGATACAGTGGACTGACGATGGTGACTATGACGTGATGCCGCGAATAGTTTGGTTAATGCCGAATAGTTGGTAATAGTGGTTAATGATGAATAAATTAATAAATATGAAACTTATAATAAGTTTCATAATGTATTAAAAAAATGTTTCTCCCTTTAGAAAATAGAAAGCCATTGGTTAGTTATGTGCCTAATTAAACTTTAGTTGTATGCTCTAAAAAACATGTTTTTTTATTGTCGCTATAGAGATGGTTTCTTGAAGAAAAGGAAGTTGATAATGAAGAATCTACCAAGATAATGAAAGAACCTTGACCAGAAGAGTTTCAGCGCAGTGCATCCTTGACCTTTCCCTTTCTTGTTCTTAGAGTCAGTATTTGGTTGATATCAGTTGAATAACTTCAAATCCAACCGAATAAGTTTAAATTTTTCAGAAGCAAATTAGATCCAAATTGAATAATATATCCAAATCCAACCAATTTGATTTGATTCAATTTTTTAAAAATTATTTTTTGGATTTAATAAAAATTAACTGTATATATTAAAACAGAACTAAAGCATCCAGTCATCACGCTTGGCTCCAAATTTAGGATAATTTAGGATAACAATTCCCTCTTCTTTGTTGTAGATTTCATTCCTTGAGCTTAATGAATTATCATTTCCCTTTCAAACAAAAAAAAAAAATTAAACTGAATCATACGAATTGGATCGATCAGTTGATAATTTTAGTTTAAGCTAATGAAAAAAAAAAAAAAAAAAAAGAAAATTAATTCCTTTTTACCTTTGCTATCAATCCAAAATTGTGTCTATCTATATATAACTGTCTAAGTTTGTTGATTGAATAATCTTTGGCTTGGGAGAGAGGTTTCAAGAAGGTTGAAGTTCAAACAGATTCTCAGGTCCTTGTGTCTATTCTTTCATTCAATGAACCACCTTCTTTACGGTATCAGAATGTGGTTTGCTCTTGTAGGAGGTTGATGTGCAGGAGGTGGCAAGTGTCTATTAAGAGAATTTATAGAGAAGCAAATCGGGTGGCTGGTGCAATGGCCAATGCTGCTCTTTCTTTTTCTCGTGGGCTTCACGTGGGCTTCATCTCATGGAGAGTCCTCCCACTTTGGTTAGAGAATTGGTTGAAGATGATAGGGTAGGGGGTATTTGGCGCCCCCGTCAGGTCATGCAGTACTTCTTGGGTTTTAATAAGGGATGGAAGCGGAGGGGCACCTACGAATTTTGAATTACCCGTAACCGTATCCGTTTATTTGAATAGGGTATCCAATTATTTTAAACTATTTAAACCCGCATGTATTTAAAATGTATTTTTTACTAATAAATCAATAGGATACTCACGGGTACCTATGGCAAAACCATTTATTATAGTAGGTAATGGAAAGTGGGTACCCAGAGTTTAACACTCATACCTTAACTATATTCATTACAGGCAGTAATTTCACTATTTGTATCTGTCTAAAATTCATTTTAAAATTCATTTATAACTATCTATATCCACGTTAAACAAATCAGAGCAGAGCGGGTTCCTAGAATACCTATCTCACTTCCATCCGAATACCTATCTCACTTCCATCCCTAGTTTTTTTAATCACTCTCTTTGATTTAAAAAAAAAAATTCTCATTTAAGAAACAAAAGTATTATGTACAAGAAAGTAAAACCACCGTAGTTTGGACTGTACTGTGCATTAATTGAATAGATTACACTTTATTTCACGTACTTTCTTTTATCTTAATAATAACAAAAGAAAAAACACAATTTATCCATGAAATTTTCTTATATTATTTAAAATAATAAAGTGAAAATTTATACAACTTTTAAGTATTTAAAATGAATTCGTTGATTATTGATTTCAATGAAATGAGAATTTTTTTTTTTTAATTCTCAAATAAACAAAATTAATGAACTTTACTGTTCTCTCCGTCTCATTTTATTTGTTTGTAATTCTTTTTTTGGATGTCCCAAAATGTTTGCAAGATTTTTAAATTCAGATATCTAAACAATTATTTTTTCCATAATAAATTTTATGATTGTTCATCAAATAAATTTGTATTATCTTTATGAGTTAAGGGTAAAAAAGAACAAAATAATTTTTATTGACTAAATTTTTAATATGCGTGTTTTGTCAACTGTGCAAATATAATAGGACGAAGGGAGTATATTTTATTTCACTATAATAGGACGAAGGGAGTATATTTTATTTCACTTTTATTTTATTTATTTTCACAAATTTCACCATTTTCAATTTATATTCTTTAATACATGTCTATCTACTAAGGGTTTATTCTGCAAAATTAGCTATTAACTGTTTTAGTAACATTTAGCTGTTAGTTGTTTGAGTAGTTTTTCATAAAATGTTAAAAGTTAAACGTTACATAGGTTAAATTTTTATAAAACGTTATCTTAATCTCTAAAAGCTAGTTCAAATGTTATGTTATCAAACACTATAAAAAATAAGGTTTAATCAAAATGCTAAAAGCTAATTAAAAACTTATTGCCGAACACAACCTAATTCTTACTCTTATAATCAAAAAATAATGGCTGCATAATGTTAATTTTGGTGCATGATCTTTTCGTTTTTTTCTATTTTGACCTAATTCTTACTCTTATAATCAAAAAATAATGGCTGCATAATGTTAATTTTGGTGCATGATCTTTTCGTTTTTTTCTATTTTGGTGTCTGAATGGAAAATTGTTAATTGAGTGCCCAAACTTGTATTTTTTTTTTTAATTTGATGTCTCCTGATGACATGGACAACCGAATGTCTAATAAGTGGGGCCCACAAATGCATATGTGTTTGTTTATGTGGACTGACTTTTTTCCACATAGACTGACAGTGTGGCAAAATTAAGGAAAAGATGCATTTACCCCAATTTATTACCATCCCAAACACCTTTTCCCCTGAAACTCTAACCTAAATCACAATTGAAAGATCTAAGTCTCCCTTTCTTCCTCTGCTCAGCAGAACCAACCCTGCTTTCAAACTGAATCAGATTGCCCAAGCATTTTTCTTTTGCGTGTGAGTTTCCCTTGGAGTCTGTATTTTTCTTTTAGATATATTTCTCCTTTCCTCATTTTCTCCCTTCTTGTGGCGATTTTCTTTGTTTTTCTCAGATCGCTTCACTCGAGTTTTGAAATTCTATGTAGTTTTGCACATTTCAAATTTTATTTTTGTTGCCCTTAATATTTATTTGTTCATGTTAATTCACAGAATGTACGGATATTCATTCGCTAGTGACAATGTCGTTTGGAAGTTCCTATTTTTAGCAAGTTTATTTGGAGCAAATAGGAAAGAAATTAGAGCTATGCTTCCATAAACAAACATATGCAGAAAAGTATCCAACAACAACCACTCTAAAAAAAAACTTTACCCAGCAAAATTATCGAAAAATGGTAACAAATAAATGTTAGCGAAGATGGGTATCTTTTCCTAGCAATCATTTTGTTCCTCGCATATTTTTGTAAATGATAGTAGCAAAATTATAATAATATGAGTGACTATTTTTAAAATTGTCTTAGATTCCTTAATTGGCATTAACCTTCTCTAGAGGGGAAGCACCCCTATATATATATATATATATATATGTGGTATTATTGTTTGGATAAGCAATATGAATACAAGAGAGTAATATCCGGCCACTATCTCCTAATATCATGCTCATATCTTCTTTCAGTTATGTTGATACATATATAGTATATATAGTATTATAGGGGTATTATTGTGTGTGGTGTGTGTGGTGGTGTGTGTGTGTGGTGTGTGGTATTTGTGGTATTATTGTTTGGATAAGCAATATGAATACAAGAGAGTAATATCCGGCCACTATCTCCTAATATCATGCTCATATCTTCTTTCAGTTATGTTGATTGCATTATGTGGTCCTTGGGCCATTTGTTAGGATCTATGTTTATCACATGTCCCCCTGCCAACAATGGTTGGCATTTACGTCGAAAATCTGAAAAATGGGCTCAGTATTTTGGGACTCTCTCAAAGTTTTAAACTTTGAAAAAGGAATGTACGAGCTATTTGATATGAGGAAAGTAGGTTTTGAGCACGACTCTTTATCCAGGGGGTGATTATAGAGCTATTTGATATGAGGAAAGTAGGTTTTGAGCACGACTCTTTATCCAGGGGGTGATTATACTTTTTATTAAGGTATGGGCCTTTGTATTTTGAGGAAAAGAAGGAGAATTTTTTGTTTTGGGCCTAAACCCCACTTCACTCAGTTTGAGGGCCCTATAGGTAGTTGCAACCGTCGTCTTGCTAAAATGTTTGACTTGATAAAATCTACAGCGGCTTTGGAATCATCAGTTTTGAGGCTTTAGCTTCCACCCATTTAGAAACATAATCAACAATAAGTAATATATAAATAAAACCAAAAGAAGAAGGAAATGGACCACCATAAAATCAATACCCCACACATAAAAAATTTCTTAAAAAATTTCACATAGCGAAGTATTGGGGTTGCTGAATCTTTCTTATTCCCTAATGCGGATAATATATTTATCCTGTTTTTTCCTTGACATTAAATTTCACCATATTTTTTGCAGAAAATATAAGCATCACGTTAAATATAGGTAGGAACTAATATATACAACCACAATCCACTATCCTTCTCTACCATAGTTTCTTATTAGGTCCAAAAAGGGACCTCATGAAAATGCCAATTGACAATATATCAAGTAGAATTAGTTTTAATTCTCATGTATCAGGTAATATTCTCGCATCCTATTAGTATTTTTTGGTTTGATTCAACAAAATTGTCCTATAAGTTATGGTATCATGTTCCCAACACATAAATACCATGGAGACTTCTACTTTTGCAATTTCTCTATTTTTAGCTCTGCTTTAAAATCGGTATAGGTATTAGTTTGTGAACCGTCGGTCCCGGGCAAATGTCACTCTAACTGGCATGTGATGGCATATGGATGAATGGAAGAAATACACGTTGGATGTGTGTGAGTCGCCATCTTGGTTTAAGGAATTATTTTTATTAGGGGTAAAATCACTAGGAAAAAACCCTAAGAAGTGGACTTATTGTTTAATTAAACTCTAAGAATATATCTAAAAGATTTTAATTATAACGACAGAATGATTAAGGGGCAGCAATCTACGAACCCGAGATTGGATCCCGAGACTGATGTTGCATGCCGATATTCAATTGATCTAACATGAATCGGAAATGTCTTTAAGCAAGGTTATAAATGATGAGCTATTTTAATGAAATGTTTTTGAGTGACTTTTGCAGCTTGCCACCAGTGCCGGGGTGATTAATCTCGCGTAACAGTGTAGAGACCTACGTATCTTCTTCCGTGCAAAATGGAAGATCTAACAGTCTATACAGTCTATTGTTCGATTAGTTGCCCTTCTTGAAGGGCTTTGGAATGTTGTGTATTTGCTTTATGCATGAGTGGTAGGTTATGCTTTGTTGCTGAATTGTTGTGTGAGTGTTTGTGCCATAATGTATTTTGTGTTAAATTGTGTGTATTGTGCATTTCTTTGTGGTGTATGGCTTGTGTGCATGATTTTGTGTATGCTCTTTTGTTGCATGAGTGTGTATGTCATTTGTGACATGAGTGGTTTGTGTATGCTGTTGTGCATTTTTGTTTAGTGCCAATGATTTGTCCCAAAAAAATGTTGATTTTTGAGGCATTTTGTGGCGCAAAATGGTTTCAATTTAAACGATTTGTCCGCTTTTAAAAAGAATGGTGTATTTTATAGGCGGCTTTGGTTCTTTGAAAATTGTGTTTCTATTTGTAAGGCAAATTTTTCC